AAAAAAAAAAAAAAACATAAGTGCAAGTTAAAGTTAAGGTATATAAAAAGTATTTTCATTTTATCCTCTGTACTAAAGAAGGAACAAGCAATAATCGGAAGTTAACAGAGTTATTATCTTTTTGTTATATTTGGGGGAAGCAATGATAGAAGACATTGTGGTCCACTCACCTAACTATAGTTAACATTGAGCAAAGAAGGGAATTTGCAATATTCCGGAGCTGTGTTAGAATGGACCTGAGTAAACAGTTACAGTAATCATTATTGAATAAAGTGACTGAAAATCAAAGGACTTAGTGTGAGGGTTTTCCCCCTCCTCACTGCGATTGATTGATTGGACAATTTGTTTTATAAGCCTATATTAATTGAGTTTGACGGAATTCATTATGTAACCGCTTATCTCAAAATGAAATGTTTCATAGAATTCATTAATAATATGTACCCTATAAGTGTTAAGTTTAATTATGAAACCTAGTGGTCCTTTTAGAATGCCATTATTCTTTGCTTATTTTTAGGTCAATTCTGATCTCCTGCTTTTGAGGGGGACCCTTTTTTTTTAATATATAATACCCAGTTAAAGCTGCATTCTCCAGCATGTTCTGTGTGTACACCATCCTTCAGTTCCCATACTATCACATAAATTATTTGCAACCTCTGCATATTTGTAAATCACTGATTAAGTCAATAAATATATATGGAAATGCTCCCACACTTCATCATGATGCAAGTTAAACAATATAGTAGATTAAAAGTGTCTTAGGGAAAGTCTGTTTTTATTAGAGTTCAACCTGCCTGTTAAGTCCAGGAATGTTAGTTCTATACATAAGTGGCCTTTTTATTCATTTCCCTGACTATAAATAGAGAATTCAGATATGCAGTTTCTGGTTATTTTATTCTGATTGCTATCCCGTGTGGACTGCTCTCTCTGTTATCAAAGAGAAATAGACTTGGGTATATTGTGTGTTTCGAGCTCTTTGACAAGACAGATTACTGAGGGCTCACTGAGAGTTAGTTACTACTATGCTCTTAATTTTTAAAAAATAATAATTTATTAGTTAAAATGTTAAGTAATAAATTATTTTTTATTTTCCATTTTCAGTCAGTTCTTCTAAAAAAGAAGCTTGAAGAACATCTGTAAGTATAAAAGCTGTTGAGGCTCATTTTTATATCATCTAGTGAAAATAAGTGTTTTATGTTAGGTGGTTACAGAGTGTCTAGGCAATGGCACGGGTGTCCCTTGAAGAAAAAGAACATTATAAGGTGCATTCATAGTATCTATAGGATTGTCTCTGCCCAAGGTCCTCAAATCAGAGCAATGACTGCTTTAGAACTGTTTTCCAATGAGATTCCCAGGTTTTATGTCTTCGTGACAGTATTTATAATCATAGTTAGGAGTTTGAGACACTCTAGATCAGAAGTCAGAAACCTTTTTCTGTAAAGGGCCAGACAGTAATTCCTTTAGGCTTTGCAAGCCATGGTTTGTGTCACAACCGCTCAGCTCTGTAGCTGTAGCTTGAAAGCAGCCGTAGATAATAAGTAAACTAGTGTTGTGACTGTGTTCCAATAAAACTTGACGTATGAAAACAGGCAGCAGCTGAATTTGGCCCACAGCTGGAGTTTTCCAGCTCTAGAGTATGGCCGTTGAATTTTTTTTAAGTATTATAAGTAATTTTTTAAAGTAATTTTAAGTAATTTTTAAAGTATTATAAGTAATTAATTATAATTAATATATTAACATTATGCTTATTAACAGTAGCAGATTTTCAAACATTTCCTTGAATTGCAAACATATCTGAACATGACTTTTTAATCTAAAAGATGAAATAAATTTTAAAATATTGCGTTTGTTTCTCATGAAGAAGAAATCTTCGTCCATCTTTGTCTTTAGCTGAGGTTGACAATGTTAGGAATGTTTTGTGATTTTTCTCGCACCAAGTAACAACCTTAATCCTTCTTATCACTTTCTAGCAAAACTCTCTCCTTGCAAACATTGAGTGTAGGGTGGCCATGAATTGCTAGCCTGTTGGAATTTTACAGTGTCACCCTATGGTAAACCAGGCATCCTCAATACCAGAGATAATTTGACTTGTTCTGTTGAGATTGGAAAGACATTCTGTAGACTGGCAGTTTGCTGCATGCTATCCGATTTTTTTTTTTTTTTAATGTGGGAAAAGTGAGATACACCTAGCAGCTGACACTTGCTGGCACGTCTAACAATGGGCGGATTGTTAATGTACTAGAGGAGTAGAAATGCTTCCTGGCTGTTGTGAAGTGACCTAGAGTCAGAATCTAGTACTGCATTCTACCCGGTCTTCATTTCCCATTCCTTTATTGCAAAAAATAGAGCACCTGCTGTTTCATAAGACTACTGTCTGACCATTGTTCTGTATTGTCATTTACATGGTCAAAAATAGTTTATTTCATCAAAAATAATTTATTAGTGAACATAAAGCCTGTATTCATTTCTGTGGTTGCCATAACAAATTACTACAAACTGGGTGGCTTTTAAAAACAATAGAAATTTATTCCCTAACAGTTCTTGAAGCTAGAAGTCTGAAATCAAGGTGTCAGCAGGATTGGTTCCTTCTGGAGGTTCTAGGGGAGAATCTGTTCCATGCCCCTCTCCTAACTTCTGGTGGCAGCCAACAAGCTTTGGTGTTCCGTGGCTTGTAGACACATTATTCCATTCTCTATCTCCGTCTTCATGTGGCCTTCTAATGAGGACGCCAGTCGTAGGATTTAGGACCCACCCTGATCTAGTATGACCTCACCTTAACTAACTACATCTGCAAAGACCCTGTTTCCACATGTCACATTTACAGGTTCTGGGGAGTTAGGATTCTACCATATCTTTTGGGAAGACACAATTCAACCCACAACGGGGCTCATAGACATCTCAAAAGATGGTCATTCTCATGCAGATTTAAAACTACAATGGAGTCCATTTTAGACGCACCAAATTGGTAATTTTTAAGCATCAGACCTACTAAGTATTGCCAAAGATGTTGAGCAATGGTAATTCTCACCCACAGCTGGTAGGAGTATACATCAGTTTACTTAGTAAACTTGAATATGCACATATTCTATGACCCATCAGTTCCACTCCCCTATATATTCCCTAGATTCCTATAGATGCTGTTGTCCATGTGTACCAGGGGACTTGTAGAAGGAAGTATGGAAGACCGTTGTTTGTAATCACAGAAAAGTAGAAACAATACAAATATTACCACTTGTAAAATGATAGTTAGAATGAGGTGTATTCAAACAATACAACGCTATACAGCAGTAAAAATGTGTAAACTAGGGCTAACACATTGACATAGATGAATCTCAGGGACATAATGTTAAGTGAAAAATGGAAGTCACACAACAATACATACAGTATAATTAATGTATAAAGTAAAAATTGGGCAAAATTAAGCAATGTATTATTTAGGAATACACATAAAGGCCCATCACAAAATCATGAGAATGATTAAAATTCCAAATTTTGGTTACTTCTGGGAAGGGGATAGGAACACATGGGACTTCTGAGGTTCGGGGATAATTTCTGTGTCTTAACCTGTTTCTTCACTGGGCTTAGTTTTTCTTATTCTTTAAACTGTATATATTTATTTTGTGTATATATATATATATATATATTTGTGTGTGTGTCTATGTGTATGTCACACCGTTGAAAAAGAAAAAGATTAAAAGTATTATGCATAGAAAAGACCAGAAATAGACATGACAAAGTACTCTATGTTCTTAGTGTTTTTCTGTATTTTCCAATTTTTGCAGCCTTTTCTCCCTCTCATATTACAGAGTGCCACACTAGGTACTCTATAGGGAGAATTATACATATTATATAAATACCAGGAAAAAACTTCCTGTTCATTCATTTTTTTTACTTCTGTATTAGAATATAGCTTACATGCATTTGTGTACAGTAAAGTACACAAATCCTAAGTTCCTAAGTCTACAGCTTAAGGAATGTTCTTCTACATATGTAGGTAACACAGATCAACATATAGAATATTTCTGGCAACCTGCCAGGATTCGTCCTTCTGTCTTCTGATTGATTATATCCCCAAACTCGTCACTGTGCTGATCTCTATCACCTTTCATTAATTTTGATACTTTCTGAACTTCATATAAATGGAATCATAAATGTAATACCCTTTTGTATCTGACTTCCTTTGTTCAACATTCTGTGAGATCCATCCAGGTGGTTGCATGTATCATGAATTTATTCCTTTTCATTGGTATGTAATGTTCTTTCTATTAATTCTTATTTTTAGAACTTCACTTTTTTTTCCAATAAGATTTTGCATTGTAAAACCTCTGCAAAATTTTTAATTTAATTTTTACAATATCCTATTCCTAGAAAAAGATTAAGATCACTAAGTTCTTTGTAGCCTCTTGTGCAGGTTTAGGTAAAAGAAATTACTACTACTTCAAACTCTGGAATTTTTGTCTCTATTTTTTTACTTATTTCAAAGTATATTAAATTCATGTTGGATTAGTCTTTTCATCTATGTTTCACAGCACTGTGTGCTATGCAAGTATATTTCAAGAATAAAGAATTTAGATTTTTCATTTGTGGAAAAAATTAGAAAACAGTTGTACGTGACTGTTACATACTTTGTTACAGAGAGAAGCTGCATGAAGCCAATAACGAACTGCAGAAGAAGAGAGCTATTATTGAAGATCTCGAACCAAGATTTAACAACAGCTGTGAGTTTTTCCTAATTGGCATAGTTTTAAATTAGTTAGCCATACATTACCCTAGTGATAATGACTTTATATAAAATTATTTCTTTTAGAAATAGGCCCTATTACATATTCTAGCAATTAAAGAATTCGCCTTATTTACAAAAAAAATGTATAATCATCTTCATAATATTTCTTAAATTTCTCATTATAGTTGTGAGTTTTTCCTTAACTATGGATGCTAATGAATATTTTATGAAATTAGTTATTTTAATAGTATAGTTGCATGTGAGTCAGCCAGACTTCTACTTCTATTGATGTTTACACATGTCGGTAGCTTGAGTTTATTAATACTTTTGTGTGGAGGTGGGAGTAGGACACAGACTTTTACTTTTTTTTTTATTGTGGTAACATATACACAACATAAAAATGACCACTTTAACCATTTTTAGGTGTACATTCACATTATTGTGCAACCACAATCTATCGCTCGACTATCTGGTATAGTGATGCTGTGCAGCCACCATCTACCTCCAAGAGCTTTCTCATCATCCCAGAGTGAAACTCCATACCCGTTCAACGATAACTCCCCTCTCTCCCCTATGCCCCCAGCCCCTGCTTTCTGTCTCTATGAATTTGACTATTCTAGGGAACTCGTATAAGTGGACTCATGCAGTATTTGTCTTTTCATGTCTGGCTTATTTCACTCAGCATAATGTCTTTCATTTTCACCTGGTAATGTCTCCATGTTGTAGCATATATCAGAGGCTGAATAATATTCGATTGTATGTATTTACCACATTTTGTTTATCCATTCATCCATCAATGGATACTTTTTAATTTATTCACTTCCATACTGGAGTTTTTGTTTATAAGAAAAGCTTTTTGTAAAAAAAAAACTATAAATTTTTGTTTTTAAAGAAAATTATATATAGGAATAGACCAAACAGTCTCTCAGAGTTGTTAACTATTTACTATTTTGTCAGTTGAAATATTTTTAAAGTTGTTAGAATCCAAAAAAAATTTTTTTTAATGTCTCATCTGCAGCCTTAAAAATTGAAGAATTACAAGAAGCTTTACGGAAGAAAGAAGAGGAAATGAAGCAAATGGAAGAACGATACAAAAAATACTTAGAGAAAGCCAAAAGTGTAAGTATGAATTTGTGGGTATCTTCCTCTACTTTCTGATCGTGTTTCACTGACTCCTCAGAATACAGTGCACGTACAGTGACTTCTCACATAGAGAGCCATCAGGAAAAGATCAAGAACTACCAAGAGGAAAATGTATGTAGGAAATAAGTGGCAGTCACTACCCGAACTAGTAATCAAAAGTAGTTACATTAATGGTAGGACAACCAACATCTTGTGCCTCTTGATGGAGTATTTAACTGATAATATTTACCCTGAATCTAAGCAATCTTATAGATCTAACTTCCAGTTCCCAGGGAAAATGAGCTTATTGGAACAAAATAAATAGCACCTTCAGGAAATCATCAGATAAATCCAGAATTTGGGATAGAAGTCAATGTTATGAAAAACAAAAATAGGCAGTGGAGTGTGGGGGAGCATAAAAGCCAAAGGGACCTAAATACCAAATGCAATGCATTAATATTTGAGTCCTGGATTGGGGGCAGAAAGGACAGTTGTAAAAGACATTGTGGAGACACCTGTGGAAATGTGGATTTGGACTGAATAGTGATGATTTATAAAATTATTTCTTACAGATGACAATGGTATTGTGATTATGTAGGGGAATGTCCTCAGTCTAAGGAGATGCACGTTGAAGTATTTAAGAGTTATGTGTCGTTAAGTCTGCAGATTACTTTAAAATAGTCCCTGAAACAAGCGTGCATGTCTGTGTGTGGAGAGAGAGCAAGAAATCAAATGTGGCAGTGCAGCTGTGGGTGAATCTGGGTTAGAGGAAATGAATTTTTTTTGTGCTGCTCTTTCAAGTTTTCTATAGATTTGGTCACTTTTGATAGTAAAAAAATGGGCCACAAAGCAAAAAGACTTTCTCGGAAGACCTCTTAGTTGGTCAGCTAGAATTGCATCACATGGCCATGCGTAAACTGAGGCGCTGGCAGAGGAGGAGACGGACCACAGTGACAGGCTTTTAAACCAGCAGGACCTGCCGCTAAGTACACGTCTGGTCAGGGGCGGAGGGCTAGCTGAACCAAATCAGAGGAAAGGAAAAGGAGAGACAGCTGTCAGTAGTGTCTGCTGTAGTATTATTTATTAGTTTTAAGCCAGAATTACTTCTTATAATTGATTCTTTTACATAATTAAAAAGTTTTATATAATTAAAAGTTGCAACAATTGAATATTATTTCATACATTCAAATTTTAAAGGATCCTTGGAAGATAGCTTTTGATTCACATAAGGTTTACCCTTTGAATGTTTTTTTTTAAGTGCTTCTTTAGATGTTACATTCTTTGAGACTTTTTAAATTTTTCTTTTATTGCTTTTTGCAGGTTATCCGTACTTTAGATCCTAAACAGAATCAAGGAGCAGCACCAGAAATACAGGCTCTTAAAAATCAGCTCCAGGAACGGGACCGACTGTTCCATTCATTAGAGGTAGTTTACTATACTATACAACAAGATATTTGATTTTTGATTCTTTATTTTCTAGGAGCCTTCCTATATACAATCGTATCCATTCATTTAGACAGTTAATTGTGAGTTTTATTGATATTGAATTGTTTTCTATCTTTAAATGTTTACATGTGCTTGTTTTTTAGAAAGAATATGAGAAAACAAAGAGTCAGAGAGAGATGGAGGAGAAATATATTGTTAGTGCCTGGTACAATATGGTAAGAAAATAATACTTCAAAACATATTGTGAGTTCAGTGAATATATACTCCCTTGACTGTAGAAGTAATTCTACCAAATGAATCTGGAAGTAATTGCTGTTCTAACACACACTAACAAAATCTTAATGCTAACCTTAGGATTGAAAAGCAGATAAGAGAACCACCATATAAACAGGGGTAGGGCCTTCCAAACACATCATTAACTCTAGAGGATAGAATCAGTTGGATTTCTGTCCCTCAGAACCATTTTATTCTAGGGGAAAGGGACTGTAATGACATCTACACACAGTTGCAGTAGCTTTTGTTTTGTGGGGCTATTTCAGTGCCTTTGCAGGAGTGGTACGTACACTGAGGATGCTTTAACTATCTCATTTGTGGTTGTTGGTAGGTAGTGCCATCCTCTCATCTTCCGGCGCTGTATCAGACAATGCTCCGCTGCTATTCATAGGGTTTTCATGGACAGTTTTTCAGAAGTGGGTGGCCAGGTCCTTTCTCCTTCTCTGTCTTAGTCTGGAAGCTCTGCTGAAGCCTGTCCACCATGGGTGACCCTGCTGGTATTTGAAATACCGGTGGCATAGCTTTCAGCATCACAGCAACACGCAGCCACCACAGTATGACAACCGACAGACAAGTGGTGTGGTTCCCTGACCAGAAATGAACCCAGGCTGTGGCTGTGAGAGTGCAGTATCTTAACCGTTAGATCACCAGAGCTGGCTAACTATCTCATAGGGTTTGGAAATTTTTCTAATAGGTGTAACAGTGTTAGACCCTGAACGACTGAAGGTTCTGAGATTGAATTTTCCAACACAAAAAAAACTTTAAACATATTGCAGGGGAAAATAAATGCCTATCACCATTTGGACTTCAGTAAGAGTTCCTGGATATAAATAGCTGTGAATTTTTAAGAATGCTGTACTTTTTTTAGTACTTTTTTCTAGACTTTTTGTTGTCTTTTTCTTCTTTGTTCTTCTTTGTAAGACCACTTCTGCCTTTTCAAAATGTTATTTGCCTAAGACAGGAAATTGGACCAGATTCTTTTCATCAACCCCCTCTGACTCTATAGTTGTGTTATTGGCACAATGCCATTGTTTCTGTTTTATGGTTATAATTGACACTGTGTTTTAAAGGTTAGTATCCCAGGCCTCCTAATAATGTGATTTAATCTTTGTCAAAAATTCATACAATTTTATGACATGTCCTCATTTATATTTGCCTTGGTTAAAACTACATATTTAAGGAGCCAGCCCCATGGCCTAGTGGTTAAGTTCGGCACACTCCGCTTCAGTGGCCCAGGGTTTACGGGTTCGGATCCCAGGCATAGACCTACACCACTCATCAAGCCATGCTGTAGTGGCAACCCACATACAAAATAGAGGAAGATTGGCACAGATGTTAGCCCAGGGCCACTCTTCCTCAAGCAAAAAGAGGAAGATTGGCAACAAATGTTAGCTCAAGGCCAATCTTCCTCACCAAAAAAAAAAAAAAACTACATATTTAAGATTCTATCACAATTTTTAAAAACAAAAGAGGAAATCATATTGTGTTTAGAATACTATTATTGTTAACAAATAGAGATTTCTTGAAAATTAAAATTTAGGGCCAGCCCCATGGCTTAGCGGTTAAGTGCATGCGCTCTGCTACTTCGGATCCCGGGCGCACACCGACGCACCGCTTCTCTGGCCATGCTGAGGCCGCGTCCCACATACAGCAACTAGAAGGATGTGCAACTATGACATACAACTATCTACTGGGGCTTTG